AAAAAAAAAAAAAAAAAAAAAAAAAAAAAAAGAACAGAAGTCCACACGAATATCTCACATAAAAGAAACTACAAGGAGGAATGTATACAAATATAAGAAGTCAGCTCGGCAAACCCAAGCTATTCGGAACAAACTTCCAGAAAACAACATATGCTATTGGACACTCTACAACTGAAGATTTTTGACCGAAAAGGAAACAAATTACTTAGCAAACTGAAGAACTGTGTAAAACCACTTTCCTAAGACGTCAGATGATAAAATCGCAAATCACTAAGCCTTTATTTTCCTGTATAAGACTTTACAAAGAGGCCAAGCCGAACGCTTTATTGTGTTAAAATTGCGATAAAGGATTTGGTAATTTAAAAAGTGAAGTAAAAAAAGGTTTAGTTCATTACAGTATTGCAGTAATCACAACTCTAACAAAGAACAGCATGGCCTCACAAAGAGCGACAGTTGCAAATAAAAGTAAAAAAGTAAAATAAAATTTGCAAGAAGAAATATAGTATCTACAAATGCTGAAAACTCTTAAACTAGATAAAACTTAAAAACTATAGGCTTTCGAACAGTCAGATAGTGAAGGAGCTGCCAAACCTAACAGAAATTTTAAAGACAATTATTTTGCTGATAGCAATCCAACATGAACGGTTCGAAGTGAAAAAAGAAGAGCCTGATAAAAGACACTTCGACCAACGAATGGCGTGCAAAAGTCAAATGAAATGGAAGCTTCACCGAGGATATATAACTTAAAACAAATAAATGAGGCTTTTTCACTGCAGAAAGCAGAAATGTAATGCAAATCTTAAGAATGTCAAGAAACAATAAAACTTCATAATAAGACATCCAACCGTCACTTCGATAGAGATCAAATATGCTCAAATACAGAGGGTTCCGTTAACACTTCAGCTGGAGTACAATCAAATCACCACTCATAATTCAACATACTTTCATTCTGGTTCATTCCAAACATATAAAGCTCAGGTTCCGGCACTGGTTCCAAGCTCATAAAAGCATTAGTACAAAAAACTGCATCAGAATTTGAGCTAATACCTAAATAAATTCTCTCAGTTTAAAAGTCCGGTCAGGAAATAAAATTCAAGAAGTCGGGAAGAAATAGCTTGAAAACGGGTTTAATTTTTTTAGCATTTCTGAACCCAAAATGGGGAAGAAAAGTGCCAATATTCGCAAAGTTAATAAAAAACCTGTTTGGGTAGGCGCACCGTCAGCCACCATTTTTAACGGAGAGAGAAATACTGATGAACAAAGTGTATCTGGTACCGAGGATATACAAACCTTCGATGGCGTTTCAAGTTCCTCAACACCCTGTCCCCCTAAACAGGTTCCAAATAAGTATGCTCCCTTAGTGAACACCAACGTAAAAAAATGTGACTTTACACTTCATTAAAAAATTGAAAATGATGAAACAGATACGCCATATACTAGTAATCTGTAACATTATGTTAATTAACGAACAAGCAATCAAATAAATGTCAAGAAAAAATAAAAAAAATAGTTCACCGGCACTCTGAATATCTAAAAGACGCGAAGGCTGTGCCCAATTCTGAGAACTAGTGCCGGCCTGTTCGGTGCCCTGAATCGTCACTTTGAGAACTCGAAAAATGTACAAAAAAGATCCTGGCTTTAAGAGCAAACTACGGGCAGCTTCTATAAGAGTAACATACCGCATGGTCTCCTGAAAGCTCTGAAGCACTTCCGGCATCTGTTTCGGGGCAAAGAAATGCTTGCAATTGTTCCTTGTTTTCATTCCTAACTAGCATCTCAAACCGCTGAAAGTAAAGAACATGTACTAATTCACTGCCCAATGCTTTGAAACGATAATTTAAAAAATACATTAAAATGACGAAGACTACACAGAAAACGTAATAAAATACCTTAGTCTCTGTTGGGTCAGAAACTTCAATTGTAGAGCGGGACTCGAGTGGCGCTTTGATCGCTATTAAAGTTTGCTCTGTCATATTCGGCAGAGAACGCAAGTCTGCATACCTCACATAGCTGAAAAAGAAACAAATGAAAGTAGGTTTTATAGTCTCAAATTCTTTGAGAAAGATAAAAACCACTGAATTGTTTCCACTTTCTATAAGTGCCCCTTCCCCTCTCCCCGAAGTGAGACTTTTGCACACAGAATTATTAACCTAAACCCAGATAAACTGTAACCTTTGTCCACACTCTCTCACCTATACTGTTTATCCGTAGGGTCTTCTTTAGCAAGCTTTAAAGCATTCGAAATATCTGAAATCAACAAATCCAAATGCGCTTCTTGCTTCTCCAAATCCGCGTTTTCATCCCTCAAACGCTGCGCTTCCAAACCATGAGTACCATGTTCGTCACCAATTCTAGATTAGGAGAATATTCAACTATACAATAATCTCAATAAAAGTATGGGCAACATATCTGGAGTTTTCCACAGCTAAAAAGTTCAGTAAAACAAAAAAGATAAATTTGCTTATTAAAAAAAGGAACGGACTTTTTTGGAGCATTGCAGTAACATAAAGTAACCAGATTCTGTCCAAAAGAAAAAAGTGAAAAAACACCAGAAATAACAAAAACTTTTCTTATAACTTACTTCCATCGAATGCTATTTTTACCCATCTTTTCAATCATATTTATCCCTTCAAGAACATTGGTTATATCATATAGACGCCTCTTCTGCACACCCAGTCTCTGTGCGGCCTCGTTGAGATTTAACAACTGAAATTAAAAAGGTTTGAAAAATTTGATAAGATACGAAGTTTTATAAAACAAAAAACAGAAATAGTAAATACCTACTAGAAAACGACCATTCAATGGCATACCTTAAAGAAATAAAAAGCAAGCACTAAAATCAAAAAAATACCCCATGATCTCCACCATTTGGCTGCAGCTGTATAAATTTTTTTGTCAAAACTAGCAGCGAATTATCCACACGACAAGGAGGGGTTCCCGTTTGAACATTAGTTCCAGACGCTAAAAAGCAGTAGTAAAATGAAACAAACAAGAAAAAAACAAATGAACCAAACAAATGA